ACACGCACACACACACACAAACAACCGTCATTCTCCGCCTCCTCCTCCTCCGCCTCCTCCTCCTCCTCCACCTCCTCCCCCTCCTCCTCCTCCTCCTCCTCCTCCTCACCTTTCTTGTTCTTCTCTTTCGTCACCACAGTCAGACTCATCAATTCTCCTCCGCTGATCCTCGACACCTGCAGCGAGCGGAAGTTGCTCTTCAGCGTGTTCTTCGTCCCGACCTCCTTCCTCCCCCCTCCTCCCCCCTGACTGCTCCAGTAGTCGACCTGCAGACCCATTGCCTCCCCCGGACAGCTGCATGGATATGAGGGGTCAGAGGTCACAGGTCGTGCACACAGCTACACGCTACATCATGAAAACAGATGAAAACAGGAAGTACCTGGTGGAGGGGGAGGAGGGAGGTGTGGAGGTGATGCTGACTGGTGCTCCTGATTGGGAGGGAGGAGACCCCAGTATGATGTCATCGGAGTCGACTGTGGATAGAGAGGCGAGACACGGTGACGAGACGGGGGAAGAGCAGGCGGGGGAGGCTGAGGATGTGACGGGTGAGTCAGGTCTTACCTGAGGTGGACAGGAAGTTCTGCTCCACGATGCCGACCTTCACCAGCTGGAACAAAGAGAGCGGAACGCCACTTTACATCATCAGCATGTGTCTCCATGGCAACAAGACTCTGCTGGCTCCGTTTAATGGTTCGTTTACATCTAGTTTTAAAAAAAGTGTGTCGAAGTTTATTTAATATTTATGTTTTCCAAAGACCTTTCCCAGACACCATTTCCCATAAGCCCCTGTTGTTCACAGGTGAAAGGTCACAGGCTTAATTGTTCTTTTCGTGTCAATGATATGATCTCCAGCCCAGTAGGTGGCGGTAATGCACCTGAAAGCTGGATTTTCAACCATCATTATCCAAAAAGACGCTTCATGTTTCTGTCATGAGACTGAAACTAGGAGCGACGTCAAACAGCTCACGTGGTGTTTAATCTGAGTTGTAGTTTTTTTGTTAGCATCATGAGCACCAAACAACTTCCTGTCGCACTATCAAAATAAAAATATGTCGGTGACAGAGTTTTCTCTCTCAAACAGTCGTGACGTAAACACAGTGATGATGTCAGCGTATGAAGACACAGTCATAACACACACACAGTGTTTCTCACCCCGATGAAAGGAACAAACTTCTGATAGGAGTCGTCGTCTGGGCTGCGGAGGGAGAGCAAATATTTATTCATCAGTCCGAGAGTCACAGGACTCGTTCACATGGGCCACATGTTCTCGAAAATCAGGTTTGAAAAACAATCCAGCAACTCTGTCAGCTGCCCCGTGACGTGAAGCCTCAGTCTGACATTTTGTCCAGCGCCGTCTTGGTTTTTTGAAGAACACATCTAAATGAAATCAATAGAAGAAACTCCCGTTTCCAGCTTCAGCAACATGAACCCAGAGATTCTGATGAAGGTCAAAGGACGCGAAACAGAGCTGAGACAGATTCAGCTGCTCTGTGAATTTTAACTTCAATTTGTGGATAAAAAGAGTGAATGGAAATGACAGAGAGGAGGAGAGAAAAAGGGCGTGACATGTTTTACCTCTTGTGTTTACAGGTGAGCATCGCCTCGGAGATCGGACACAGGTGAGAGACAGCAGCTCCGCTCAGATACTGAGACACTCGAGCTGCGACATCGACCGGATCTGAACAGAACACACACAAACGGTGACGTAGCCAATCATGACATCATCATGAGCATGACATTGTAGGAAAATGGCCAACGTGGAAATATGGTGACAGGCCAATACTTCCTACTTTTCACGTCCCCCAGAACCTTCTGAATGAACTGTAAAACCTAAGGACCATGTAGAACCTTCTCAACGATCTGTGAGACGTAGGAGTGAAAAATGCAGCGTGGCGCCCCACTTCTCCAAAGTCCACTTTCCACGGGACATTCCGGCAGGTAGCCGACAGACAGAAAGTAACAGAGCTGAAAACTACGCTTAAATGACAACAGTCATTATTCACCAAACTGTCAGAGGCTTCATTTAAAGTGACTCAAAGTAGCTCTCGGATTGAAAAGGTTGGAGGCCCCTGGTCTAGACCCTCATGTCTACAACCTTCTGAACGATCCATAGAACCTGCCGTAGGAGAACTTTTTCAACGACCTGTAGCATAGAACCTAAAGTTCATCTAGAACCATCACAATCAGCAGAATCCTTAAATACATGTTTCCTGTCTGACGAGTGTTCTGATCTGATGGGGGCAGTCTCCTCCCACTTTCATAGGATGTGAAGTTACCGAAAGGAGGAGGCTCCAGACGTCCAAACAGCTCCCTCCAACCTGCGTCCATGAACAGGCTGTTGAATTTACCGTCCAGGGACGAAAGGTACTTGGCAAGTGGGTGGGCTCCTGGTAGAGGGTAAGCAGAGAGCATCATGGGAAGTTTTGTATGTTAGAAGAGAACAGCTGTGTCCCAATTCAGGCGTTGCTTCCTTCAGAGGCTGCGTCACAGCAGTGAGTCTAGACTGTCCCATCGCTCCTTCAAACATTCCCTTCCATTCCCCAAAAATAACATCCAGCATCGGGTCAACATATCCCAGGATTCATTGCACACTAGTGACAAAGCCAATGAGCTAGCTATGCGGGTGGGTGAGCTAAGTAAGTGCAACTGCTCAAAGAAGCTAACAATGCATCGGTAACGCAGGATCCACATGCACTGTGTGAACATTCAAAGTGAATAACCAACATGTCTGTTGAAGCCTCTAGAACACGTGTGAGTCCCAAACCGGAACGTTTCATTTCAGCTTGGCCTCTGTGGACTACTCAGTCTACATGGGCAGTGCTCTCCGAGTCCTCTGAAGGATGCGGCCCCTGATTTGGGACTCTGCTTGCATGTTTGCATTCGTGTGTTAGGGACCACGCGTACCCGTGGGGAGGATAAGGAAGCGGACATAGTTTAGCCAATCAGGCGTCTTGCTGGCCAGCTGCTCCACAAAGCAGCTGAGGACGTTGGTGAGGTAGCTCTGATCTCCGCCCACAGCCACCTTAACAGTGGGCGGCATCTGGGAGTTACAGTTACAGCTGGAATCAAACGTCAATCAAGTCAAACAGGAGAACGTCCTAATCAAATCAAGCAATAATCAAATACTGATGAAGGACACTTACAATCTCTGGATGCGGCTTATTATGGCGCTGAAGGCGGCGTGCACATCGGCTGCTGAGACGGTGCAGACGACGGGTTGATCGAAGAGACGCTCTGAAAGATACTGAGGGGAGAGACAGACAGACAGACAGACAGACAGACAGACAGAGACAGAGAGAGACAGACAGACAAACAGACAGACAATTAAAATTTTAACCAAACGTAATATAAAACAAGACCCAGAATCCGACTCATGTCAGTTCACTGCCAAAGACAAGTTCATCAT